GATCGGCCAAACCTGCCACGTCAGCAGGTAAATAAAACTGGCCCGGCCCGCCAGGGTGCTTACCCTGGCGAGCCGCGTGCCAACGTTGCCAACCCCTATCCTAGAAGGTGGGTGCATAACTGGTTGGAAAACCATTCCCAGGGAGTAGTTATCAGTGGTTAACAGTCAAGCTGGAAGAGAATATCGAGTGGAGTCCTGTGGGGATCAGTTCTGGGTCCAGTTCTGTTCAATATTTCCAACAATGATTTAGATAATGGCATAGACAGTGCACTTATAAAGTTTGCAGACAGTACCAAGCTGGGAGGGGTTGCAAGTGCTTTGGAGGATAGGATTGAAATTCAAAATGATCTGGACAAACTGGAGAAATGGCCTGAAGTAAATAGGATGAAATTCAATAAGGACAAACACCAAGTACTCCACTTAGGAAGGGACAATCAGCTGCACACATACAAAATGACTGCAGAAAGGGACCTGGGGGTCATAATGGATCATAATGGATCACAAGCTAAATATGAATCAACAGTGTAACACTGTTGCAAAAAAAGTGAACATCATTCTGGGATGTTAGCGGGAGTGTTGTTAGCAAGACACAAGAAGTAATTCTCCCACTTTACTCCATGCTGATAAGGCCTTAAGTGGGATATTGTGTCCCGTTCTGGGCACCACATTTCAGGAAAGATGTAGACAAATTGGAGAAAGTCCAGAGAAGAGCAACAAAAATCATTAAAGGTCTACAAAACATGACCTACCAAGGAAGATTGAAAAAAATGGGTTTGTTTAGTCTGGAGAAGAGAAGACTGAGAGGGGATATGATAACAGTTTTCAAGTACATAATAGGTTGTTACAAGGAGGAGGGAGAAAAATTGTTCTCGTTAACCTCCGAGGATAGGACAAGAAGTAATGGGCTTAAATTGCAGGAAGAGATGTTTAGGTTAGACCAGGGGTTGGCAACCTTTGGCATGTGGCCTGTCAGGGAAATCCGCTGGCGGGCCGGGACGGTTTGTTTACCTGCAGCGTCCGCAGGTTCGGCCGATTGCAGCTCCCACTGGCTGCGGTTCGCTGTTCCAGGCCAATGGGGGCTGTGGGAAGCGGTGGCCAGCATATCCCTCGGCCCAAGCCGCTTCCCGCAGCCCCCATTGGCCTGGAACGGCGAACTGTGGCCAGTGGGAGCTGTGACCAGCCGAACCTGCGGACGCTGCAGGTAAATAAACCCTCCCGGCCCGCCAATGGATTTCCCTGACAGGCCACATGCCAAAGGTTGCCAACCCCTGGTCTAACCTAAACATCCCTTCCTGCAATTTAAGCCCATTACTTCTTGTCCTATCCTCGGAGGTTAACGAGAACAATTTTTCTCCTTCCTCCTTGTAAACTTGAAAAACTTCCTAACTGTCAGGGTAGTTAAGCACTGGAATAAATTGCCTAGGGAGGTGGTGGAATCTCCATCATTGGAGGTTTGTAAGAGCAGGTTAGACAAACACCTGTCAGGGATGGTCTAGATAATACTTAGTCCTGCCTTGAGTGCAGGGGACTGGACTAGAACAGTGGCTCTCAAACTTTCCAGACTACTGTACCGCTTTCAGGAGTCTGACTTGTCTTTGTTTCACCTCACTTAAAAAAACTAGGCAAATATCTAGATTAGTTGATGTGCCCAGGGAAGACCTCTGTGTACCCCCAGGGGTACGCATGCCCCTGGCTTAGAACCACTGGACTAGAAGACCTCTCGAGGTCCCTTCCAGTCCTACACTTCTATATTTCTATGAAATGCCAAGCAGCCATGGCGTGCAGCATCGTGACATCCTGAGATGTCATGAGTTTGCCACACTACTTACTCCTTAAAGTTCATTCCAGAGTGAGAGTCATAGATTTGAAGGTCACAAGGAACCAGTATGATTATTTTGCCTGACTCTAAGCTTCCGTACAGAACCAAAGGAAGGAGTCACAGTACAAACAAGGGAAATGATCAAATAAACATGAATATACACAGTTTACTAAATTTAAAATTCCCTTTCCCTCCACTCATGCCTTCCTTCCTCATTTGCCATCTCTGGCCTGCTACGCAATGATAAAAGCACACTGAGTCCTCCCACGAGGGGCCAATGGATGAACAGATGGTGGCATTCGATACTAGAAGACTTGTGTTATCAGAAGTTAGTCATGCAAAAGCAAAACCAGCCCTGTTTCTGACCAACTTTTTAAAGCACAGATCGTTTTCATATCTAAAATGGGGGGAGGAATAATTTTCAAAAATAAAAAAAAAACCCTTTTGTTAAAATTGTGACATAAGCAACTGTTGGTCAGATGTAAAATGGTACCAAATGCTGCAAACTTTTGTGCTCAGTTCTGCAAACCAAAGTTGGGAATATTGTAGCATTATGACCCTATTCTCCAGTGGTACAAGGCTGTCCTAAAGATGGATCACCAAGTCACAGAAGGATCTTCCTGTATAGAGGGGCACTCCGGTCATCTAAAATCACTACAGCAGCTTCTATGCCACATGGGTCATGGTCTTTGGGGGGTTGAAAAGGGATCATGACTCAGGGCATCTCTCCAGTGCCCTACTGACCTCCAGCTGTTATAATGGGCCCCCAGGGTCATCAACAGCCAACAGAAATTAGAGCAGTCTTGAGACTGCTCTAATTTACACTGAGGTCCAGCTCAGTGACTGGACAGGCCAGGACTGAAGGGTTGCAAATGTCACCTTTGCACACACCTCTCAGCTATTCTGGGTGCTCTTTGGCTGCACTATAAGAATTGGCTCTAGTATTAGTTGTCTGTCTCTCTTTCTCTGGGTCTGACCCTGAGAGCTGCTACTTTATCTGAAGTCAAAGTTCAGTGTCTTTCAGAACCTGACAGTCTTCTCACACTTTATGCAATGTCCTTTTCTATATGTTGTTGTTTTTTTAATTATTATTTTAGTTCATAAACTCAAGTGATCTTGCTTCAGTTATCAACAAAAATCGAAATCATAATTATTCCTATAGATTACAATCATTGGGTCCCAGTCCAACAGTCAAAACATGGACAAAAGATTAACAGGAAATAACAGAGCCGATAAGAATTTTGACTGCAGGATCAAGCCATAGAAAGAGACCATTCCAATCTCTGTGTCACTCTCTTACTGAAATCTGAGTTGGGATGATTCTTATACACTTCTAAATTTGACTAAGAGACAGCAAGTAAAATTATGATGGACAGGAGTAGACAGATGGTATTTCTTATTTTAATAGGGTTCATTCTGATGCTTTCTGGATCAGCTTATATGAAAGATCTCTTGGCTCATGTTAAAAGCCAGATAGAGCTGCTAACTTATACCTATATACTGCAAGCTGATCTGCACAGGAGGGCTCTTGTGGCCACACAAAACAGCTTGCAGAATTAGAGCCTGCATGGTGTAACAGGGACACAGCAAGGAAGATGCCAACAGCAGGCTATCGAAGGGCGCAGGCAATTACCCCCCCGCCCTTTGTATTCTTCTCTCCTCTTTTTATTTTTAATACATTTTTTAAAGTCTCCCTGTCATTCACTCTACCATGCTGGGTCAGCATTTCTGGAAGCCTTGTTGTTATGAGTTCAAGCAGCAGTGGTAGAAGGAGATCTTTGACATTTTAGGATTACTAATTCATGGGTTTTGTCCCATTACTCTAAACCAAAGTAGATGGCAACACCGCTGTCTGTCCTGAAACGGAATCCACTGACTGTGCTCTTACTTCTTCCACCTCTATTTGTTGTCACTAGAAAAGTGCCTGAATCAAACTCCAGATTGTAACACCCCCAAACTTTAGGGTGCCAGAGGCCCAGATTGGAATTTTGTGAGCTGGGTTTTTCACTCATTGTTTCCATTGAATAAGACAAGGTCAGACATTTTAGCACACACTATTCTATACCCACTTAGGGTTTTCATTCACTGAAACTGTGCCCCCTGTTTCCAGGCCATCCTTATGGTATCTTTACTAGAAAACTACAACTCCTTCTCTGTTATTTGGTTCAGCTCTCTCTCCACTTTATAAAGCACTTAGTTCAATGGAAACACCTTCTTCCTCCATAGAGTGAATGGCTTAAGAGTGAAGATGAAAAAGGCCCTCTGAAGCAAGAGACATCAAGGACTGCCTTTTAGAGTCAAACCAGGGCTATCCTTACACTTGTAGGCTGAGCTAGAAGGGGCTAATTTGTATAAACATATACAGGATGGAGAGGAGCCAAAGCAGTATCATTCCTGCTCGCTGAACACACGCATGCCCTTCCACATAACCTCTGTATCACAAATGGGCCTCTGCAGATTGAGGGAGATGTCTTGGGCAGGGAGGATGTGTCACTGAGAGGCAGCTACTCTATGTAGCATTATTTCCTGTCAAGCCCACAGAGAGATGCTGTCAGCATTAATCCCAGGGGTTCCCACTCCACACTTACAAACCTTTATGTATAGACAGAAGACCAGGCCTTGGTGTGGAGCAGGAGCCTCAGGCAACATGTCTCCTGGGGGAAGTATGCTGCCTAGGTTAGAGAGGCCCAAAGGATCACGGAAGGGCCATTCTTTTATGCAGATGTCCCATCAAGACACACATTCTGTCACTTCTATGGTTATTTAAACCCCATTCCTATCCCCAGTTGCCTCATATGTGGGAAACACAGAGTTGACTGTAGTAGTGTTTCCCCATGTAAATCCACCCTTTCTGCTAGTTTTTCCATGAAAGTCCATGATATAGACTTTAGTTCCATCATTACCACTTCTAGAGTAAAAGTTTGTGAAAACAGCATCCCTAGATCCCTCTGTTTTACTCAGGGATAAAAGATGAAGCTAATTCATTTTTAAGGAAAAGGAAGATTGAAGGATTTAGTCACATAACTTACTGGCACATCAGAATGCGATACTGTAACCAAATTTTGTGAAGAAAACTCATTGCTAAATCACTGAGATTCAGGTGTTGTTTGTGGAATCAGCCCTCAAGAAAAATGCTACTGGAGTGTATGTCAAAATCTAAGGTAAATATTTTGAGCCTTACCTTCCTGCGTTCTGAAGTCATCTTCGGCAAAGTAATTAAAGTTGCCACAAAGGCCACAGGTTTTATTATAGTGCTTCTCTGTAAACAGTATTTGAATATTCACATCGATGTCAATCTTCACCACAAAGCCATGCTCATCACTGGCTAACTTATAATAGCCTGCCTCAGTCTCTACAAATATCCCATGGGAGGCAAATGGCAGGGAAACCCTGTTAAGAAAAATAAAGGTTGCTCAGGATGTAATGCACAAAATAACATGGATGCTACACTTTTTAGCTGACATCATTCACTGTTGCACTGTCTACCTTTTGTCCCCCTGAGTCACAGTTCCATCTAAAGCCAAGTGAATGTCAAAATATTCTCCCAGATACACAGAGAAGCCGTTTCTTCTTCCATTCTGGTAGTCACCTGAAAAGACACAACAGATTATTCTTTCTTTTCATGAAATTGAGCTTCTTCTGCTTGATTGCTGTTCTTTTCAAATGCGCTCAGCCTTAGAGAAAATTGCCTTTATTTATACAAATGTAGGCCCCAATCTGCAAAGACCATTATTATTATTGTTCATTATTTGTAGGATAGTAGTGCTGGGATGCCCTATCTGAGATCAGGGTTCCATTGGGCCAGGCACAATATAAAAACAGGGTAAGAGACAGTCCCAAACCCAAGCTCAAAATGGCTAAATAAGAGCTCCTAATCTTCCCCCCAAGCCCTCTCCTCTACCACATTTCTCAAGCCCTGTGAACAACACCATCAGCCTGCCTGTCACTCAGCTCCATAGTCTCTGTGCCATCTTCAACTCAGACCTCTCTCTAGGTCCTCACATCCAGGCTATGTCTAAATCACGCAGATTCTCTCTGTATAACATCTCTCAAATACAGCCTTTCCTATCCATCCACACATCATCATCCAAGCTCTCATCATCTTGTGTCTTGATGACTCCTACATCCTGTCCTCGGGCCTTGACAAATGTAATCTTGCCCCAGACATACCCATTCAGAATGCTGCTGCAACAATCATTTTCCTAGTTCAGTGGTTTGCAACCTGTGGTCCGTGGACCCGTGGGGGTATGCCCCACCATTCAAAATTTTTTAGGCGTCCGCAAATGGAAAAAAGTTGAAAACCAAAGTCCCAGGCTGTCACTTTGACCATAGTCAACCCACTCCTTGAATCCCTCCACTGGCTTCCCTATCTTTTTTATATCAAGCATAAAGCTGCATGTCTTCACTTTCTAGACACTTAAAGGTCAATCCACACCCTACCTCTTATCTCTCATTCACTGTCAAGCTATTGATTTTCATCTCCAATTGGCCCATGATTCCAGGCTCCATCGCCCACTTGTTAAATTCCCAAACACACATCTTTGTGCTTTCTCCCATGCTGCCTCTCATGCTTGGAGAGCATTCCCAAGAAACATCTGCCAAACTAACTCCTCAACCGCCTTCAAATCCCTCCTGAAAATTCTCCTTTGCCATGATGCCCACAATAAACTTGACATCTGCTAGGTTGCTGGTGTTCTGTGATCATTGCCTATTATACTGACTAACACTCTCTCACTGTTTCCCACATTGGTCTGTATCCATCTGTTGTCTCTTTTCCTATACTTAGATTGAAAACTCATTGTGACAGGGGCCATTTTGTTATTTTGTGTTTGTACAGCGCCTAGCACCATGGTGTTCTGGTCCATGACTGGGGATCCTAAGTGCTACAGTAATACAAACAATAAAGAATTTACACTTCCTGAAGATGAGACAAAGAATTACTCAACAGGTGAATAAGGGTACATCTGCACTGCAAAAAAAAAGCAAATGCGGTAGTGAGTCTCAGAGCCCAGGTTAACTGACTCAGGCTTGCACTACAGGGCTAAAAATAGCAGTGTAGATGTTCAGGCTCAGGCTGGAGCCTGGGCTCTGAGATCTGGTCAGGGAAGGTTTCAGAGCTGGGATACACTGCTAATTTTAGCCATGGAGTGCAAGCCTGAGTCAACTGACACAGTCTTTAAGACTCGCTGCCATGGGGGGGGGGGTGTTGGGATTTTTTGTTTTGTTTGGTTGGTTGGTTTGGTGTTTTTTTTGCAGTGTAGACGTACCTTTAGGGCCCTGTGAGTTGGGAGGGTCCCAGAGCCTGGTCTCCAGCCCGAGCCCGGAAGTCTATACTGCAATGAAACAGCCCCACACGGGCCACTCACAGGTTTTTAATTGCAGTGTAGTGTAGACATACCCTAAGACTACTCTCAGTGTGTAAAGTTAAAGACGTGTAAATTTGTACAGGATTGAGGCTGTACTGACAAGTGCTGTCTGAAACCTGCATGTGTAGCTAACTGAATTTTTAACTAATTTTGCTTCAACTCTTTTCATATCTTTTTTTGTGGTCACTTTCTGCATTTGACAACATAGGCAAGAATAAATATAAATAAGTGGAGACATACCTATCTCATAGAACTGGAAGGGACCCTGAAAGGTCATTGAGTCCAGCCCCCTGCCTTCACTAGCAGTACCAAGTACTGATTTTGCCCCAGATCCCTAATTGGCCCCTTCAAGGATTGAATTTACAACCCTGGGTTTAGCAGGCCAGCGCTCAAACCACTGAGCTATCCCTCCCCCTATTCATCAGAAAAGTTAATTTAAAGTGAATAATGCAGAATATTTGCACAAAAGAAATTCTGAATTTCTAGTCATGACTACTAGGAGTAGATACTAATTTTGAAGAGTTGTTCAGCCATTATTGAACATAACCTTACCATGTGACTTATGTGCCCAATCAAAACAAGTGTCATTGCAAATGCACACAACATACTGTTTGCAAACAAGCTTTGTGACAGGAATTAAAAGTTATTTGGGTAATAATTTCAATTAATTTAAAAGTTTGATAAAATCACAACCTGTTCACAGAAAATTCACCAACAGAGAGAAGAGGAAAAATTCACTGACTAAATTATTTGTCATGAATTATTTGTCCAGCTTTAGCAATGAGTAACCACAGCATATACTCAATATGCATCTGTTTCAACCCTGATAATTCCACATAACAGTCCTGGACACTGATCAACTACACAGGTATATAGGATCAAAGGAATTACTACACAGAATTGGTGCCATGGTCTTTCTACTGAAGTATCCTGGATCTGACAGTGGCTAGCACCAGATGCCACAGAGGGAGTTTCAAGAACCCCACAATAGGCAGATGTGAGATAATCTGGCCCTCATGAAGATCTCCTCCTAATCTCTAACAGTTAGATTGGTTTAAACTCTGAAGCACGAGGTATTTAATGCTTACCAAAACTTTGTTTGCCTTGACTATTGTAACTCTTGATATTCTTTTTATCCACATAAACATCCATTCCTTCTTTGAATCTTAATGAGTTCTTGGCTTCAATGTAATACTGCGGCAGTGAGTTCCACAGTCTAATTACATGTTGAGTGAAAATGTGTTTCCTTCATCAGTTTTTAATTTCCCATCTTTTCAGTTTATTGAATGTCCCCTTGTTCTTTTGTTATGAGACAGGGAGAACATGAGCTCCAGCTTACCTTCTCTAGACCATTTGCTATTTTATATGCTTTCATCCTGTCCCCTCTTATTCACCTCCATTCTAAGGTAACAATTCCAGTCTTTTCAATCTCTCTTCATATGAGAGTTACAGCCTTCAAACACACCTTGTATGACTAGAAAGCTCTGTTGAAAGGAAACTCCATTGGGAGCTTTGTTGATTTTTCATAGGAATAGTTTAATTTTAGAGTTTCCCCACTCTCTGCTTCTATTTCCTGACTGTAGGGAAGGGCTGGGGTCACTGTTGATGAAGACTGGTGTAGAACATTCAGTAATTTGATTGGTCAGATTGTGGTTAGCTTTGCACAGGAGCAGAAAGAGCAAGTGGGGGAAGACAGAACAAGAATTCCCCCTTGCTTCCACCACATCTCCTTAGCCCCTGCGTAGGAACTAGTCACTATCATAGTCCTTGTGACACCTGAGCACAAGTCTAGTGGATTGATCCTGTAAAGTGCTAATCATTCTAGCCTGATTCAACAAAAGTCTTAAACACATGCTTTAAGTTAAATAAGAGTAGAGTCTCACAGAAGTCAATGGAACCATTCACATGCTTAAAGCATGGGCTTAAGTGTTTGGCTGGATCTGGAGCTAGAGTTCTTAGTGCCTTTCAAGATGGAGCCCCAAACAGAATAGGAGGAGCAAAGGCAGGACCATAGCCATGCCTCCTCTCACTGTCCGACAGGATGGGATTGGCATGGGGGAGGAATTTACACCGTATCTTTTCAAATGGTGGCATCAGGTCTGGTGCACTTGTACTTGCCCAGAGGCATGATCACTGAAGTCGTGTTCATCTGTACACCCCACAGCAGACAGTGGCTGAAGCAATTGAATAGCTCTAACTTTCCCCATTGTTCCCACCCCCACCCACCCACCCACCCACACATTCCCCGCCTCCTATGCAGAATCAGCTTTTTGCACAGCAAATAAGATTGTTCCCAGTAACAAAATTGTCCAAGGACATATCTACACCACAAGTGAAGGTGTGATTCTAGGACAGGTATGCATATCCACGCTAACTGCAATCTAGCTAGCACAGGTGACAAGAGCAATATAGACATGGTGGTGCAGACTTCAGAATGGACTATCAACCCGAGTATGTACCTGGGGGCCCCGTTGGGCTAGTACTGGGGCAGCTAGCCTGCGCCGAAGCTCATGCCACCACATCTTCACTACTATTGTTATCAGTGCTAGCTAGATTAAAGCTATGCCCAAACTCCATGCTACAAACACACCTCCGTTGCTGTGTAGCTCTACCCGAAGTTATTTAATACCAGTTGCATTCCAACTCATTATTACATTTCCCCCAACATTAATTCAGAGCTAATATTCTAAATCCACATCTTGTTAATGTCTTTTGCAACCGGAGTCATTCATTTCAGATATATGCCCTCTGAGGTTTAAAACAAAAGGATGAGTCTATGTTAAATATCACTCGGGTACTAATACCACATACTGAGGTTGAATGAGATAACAGATGCATGCAGTACTCGATTGCAGCATGTTTCTTTCTAAAACGTAGTCATGAAATCTTGGCTCGCAATCTTTAAATGGTTAATTGATGGTTATCGCACAAACCAATCCATCCAAATCTCCTTTAAAATGTGTAGTGAAATATATTTAAGGGCTTATCTGCACTCAAGAATTCTATTAATTTTACTAAATTGGAGCAAAAACCAATGCAGTTAAAGCAGTGCAAATCCCTTATTTTGGATTAAGAGAGCCCTATATCAATTTTCATTTGGCATAAAGCTTACTTAAACTAAATTGAAATAGGACACTAATCCAAAATAAGAATGTTCGCACAAGGGTTTTGCACCCAGTTTCACAAATCACTTTCAGTGCTCAAACTGTGTGTACTCCAGCCCTGAGAATAAGACTTACATCTACACGGCTACCCCTCTGAAACCTGTCACCATGCAAGGCACTGAATTTAGCCATATGAAGTGGAAATCCATCAACTTCATGAAAAAACTCATGCAGATACAGACAGACATTGTCTTCCTTTCCAAATGCAAATGAATGGACATCATACCAAAAGGACTGAAGGTAAAAAATCCATTACAATCAATATACCACACAGACTATGGTGAGAGATTGTTCCACACACTCTCAAAGAAACTGAGGAACCACCTGATCAGCATCCTGTACAGCAAACAGGAGAAGATCAAGAATGAGCTCTCAAAACTGGAGACTCTCATAAAAAGCCAACCTTCCACACAAACTTCCTTGTGGCTGGACTTTACAAAAACTAGACAAGCCATTTACAACACACACTTTGCTTCTCTACAGTGGACACTAAACTATCTAAACTCCTACATGCCACAAGGGGCCACAACAGAGATCCCCTTAACTCACCCAACAACATTGCTAATCTATCCAGGTATACGCTTAGCCCGGCAGAATAGTCTGTCCTATCTCGGGGCCTCTCCTTCTGCCCCACCACCCACACACATGATACAGTTCTGCGGTGACCTGGAATCCTACTTTCGCTGTCTCTGACTCAAGGAATATTTCCACCACACCACTGAACAGCACACTAACCCACAGACATAGGCACTGACTCCAGGGGTGCTCTGGGGCTGGAGCTTCCACAGGGAAAAATTAGTGGGTGCTCTGTACCCACCGGCAGCCAAGCTCCCCTCACTCCCGCTCCAACTCACCTCCTCCCTCCCCAAGCGCGCTGCATCCCCGCTCCTCCTTCTACCTCCCAGCGCTTCCTGCCACCAAACAGCAGTTTGGCAGCACTTAAGACTTTCCAGGAGGGAGCGGGGAGGAACAGGGACGTGGCATGCTCAGGGAAGGAAGCGGAGAAGAGGCAGGGCAGGGGCAAGGACTTTGGGGAAGGGGGTTGAATGGGGGAGGGAAGGGGAAGGGACTTTGGGGCAGGGGTGGAATGGGGGCGGGGCGAGGGCAGTGCAGGGGTGGGGCCAGGGGTGGGGTCGAGCACCGACCGGGAACAGTGGAAGTCGGCACCTATGCCCACAGAAACCTTCCTACCAATGCTACAAGATGAAGGATTCTGCATGGACTCCTCCTGATGGTCGAAACAACAGACTGGACTTCTAAATAGAGTGCTTCTGCCGACGTGCACAAGCTGAAATTGTGGAAAAGCAGCATCACTTGCCCCATAAACTCAGCCGTGCAGAACACAATGCCATCCACAGCCTCAGAAACAACTCTGACATTATAATCAAAAAGGCTGACAAAGGAGGTGCTGTCGTCATCATGAATAGGTTGGAGTATGAACGAAAGGCTGCTAGGCAAACCACATTCTACAGGCCATTACCCTCTGATCCCACTGAGGGGTACCAAAAGAAACTGCACCATCTGCTCAAGAAAATCCCTGAAGCAGCACAGGAACAAATCTACACAGACACACCCCTAGAGCCCCAGGTATTCTATCTGCTACTCAAGATCCATAAACCTGGGAATCCTGGATGCCCCATCATCTCAGGCATTGGCACCCTAACAGCAGGACTGTCTGGTTATGTGGACTCTCTCCTCAGGCTCTACACTACCAGCACTTCTAGCTATCTTCAAGACACCACTGACTTCCTGAGGAAACTACAATCCATTGGTGATCTTCCAGAAAACACCATCCTAGCCACTATGGATGTAGAAGCTCTCTACACCAACGTTCCACACAAAGATGGACTACAAGCCATCCAGGAACAGTATCCCTGATAATGTCACGGCAAACCTGGTGGCTGAGCTTTGTGACTTTGTCCTCACCCACAACTATTTCAGATTTGGGGACAATTTATACCTTCAAGTCAGCAGCACTGCTATGGGTACCCGCATGGCCCCACAGTATGCCAACATTTTTATGGCTGACTTAGAACAACGCTTCCCCAGCTCTTGTCCCCTAGTGCCCCTACTCTATTTCTGCTACATTGATGACATCTTCATCATCTGGACCCATGGGAAGGAGGCTCTTGAGGAACTCCACCTGGATTTCAACAATTTCCACCCCACCATCAACCTCAGCCTGGACCAGTCCGCATAAGAGATCCACTTCCTGGACACTACTGTACAAATAAGCGATGGCCACATAAACACCACCTTATACTGGAAACCTACTGACCACTATACTTACCTACATGCCTCCAGCTTTCATCCAGACCACATCACACAATCCATTGTCTACAGCCAAGCTCTAAGATACAACCGCATTTGCTCCAATCCCTCAGACAGAGACAGACACCTACAGGATCTCTATCAAGCATTCTTAAACCTACAATACCCACCTGGGGAAGTGAAGAAACAGATTGACAGAGCCAGAAGGACTCCCAGAAGTCACCTACTCCAGGACAGGCCCAACAAAGAAAGTAACAGAACGCCTCCAGCCCCCAACTAAAACCTTTCCAGCACAACATCAGGGATCTACAACCTATCCTAAAGGACGATCCCTCACTCTCACAGATCTTGGGAGACAGGCCAGTCCTCACTTACAGACAGCCCCCCAACCTGAAGCAAATACTCACCAGCAACTACACACCGCACAACAGAAACACTAACCCAGGAACCAACCACTGCAACAAACCCCGTTGCCAACTCTGTCCATATATCTATTCAAGGGACACCGTCATAGGAGCTAACCACATCAGCCACACCATCAGGGGCTTGTTCACCTGCACATCTACCAATGTGATATATGCCATCATGTGCCAGCAATGCCCCTCTGCCATGTACATTGGCCAAACCAGACCGTCTCTATGCAAAAGAATAAATGGACACAAATCAGACATCAAGAATTGTAACATTCAAAAACCAGTAGGAGAGCACTTCAATCTCCCTGGACACTCAATAACAGACTTAAAAGTCACCATTCTTCAACAAAAAAAACTTCAAAAACAGACTCCAACAAGAAACTGCAAAACTGGAATTAATTTGCAAACTTGACACCATCAAATTAGGCCTGAATAATGACTGGGAGTGGCTGGGTCACTACAAAAAATAATTTTCCCTCTGTTGATATTCACCCCTTCTTGTCAACTGTTGGGAATGGGCCACATCCACCCTAACTGAATTGGCCTCATTAGCACTGACCCCACCACTTGGTAAGGCAACTCCCATCTTTTCATGTGCTGTATATTTACACCTGCCTACTGTATTTTCCACTCCATGCATCTGATGAAATGGGTTATATCCCACGAAAGCTTATGCCCAAATAAATTTGTTAGTCTCTAAGGTGCCACAAGGACTCCTCGTTGTTTTTACTGATACAGACTAACACGGCTACCCCTCTGAAACCTGAACCAAAGGGGTAATTTACAGCTCGAAGAGACAAACCTGCACTAGCTCCGATCAAGCTCGTGTGCTAAAAATGGAGTGTAGCTCTGGCAATGAGAGGGGCTAGTCACCCCAAGTAGAGACATATGGTTTCAGATGGGATCATACACAGGGCAGCTAGCCCATCCTGCCATGGCTACACTTCTGTTTTTAGCACACTAGCTCAATCCGAGCTAACGCTAATGTCTAATGTTTCCTCCAGCTGGAAATTACACCTCCAGCTCAAGGGAAGACAAACTCTAGCTCTGAAGGGGAAAATGCTGACCTTAAATATACCTGTGTACCCTCAAGGACTTCTGTGCTGAGTGGATAGATTTTCAAAGGATTCAGCACACAATCTGCATGAGTTTTTATGGGAGCCGTGTGGCTAAATCCCCTAGTCAGCTTTGAAAATCTCCACCATCCTGGCAACATTTAAAAGACTACCCACTTTTCCTCTTTACACAAGGGCTAATGAGGAAATCCCGGTTCTCCAGTAGCTTATCAATGCAAGAACCCAGGTGTCAAAGGACATCAGAAGCCAGTTTAGAGGAACAGGACCTCTATGCAGATAGGCCTGGCCTCAATAGAGCCATCAAAAGTCATTGGTTTAGCTGTCCCTCCCCTGTGGCAGAAGGCAGCATTGGGAACTCTGCTAGTGTTCTTCCCCCATGTGAAAGTTATCCAAGAGAGGTGGATACTGAAGCCCTAAAATGTTCCACATTTGCTGATCTCTGATATTCTACTCAAACTCACCTATGAGCGTGAAGGAACGTTTGTGACAGTCCCCAGCCAGGAGGTAACTGCAATCCCCAGCAAAGTCATAGAAAGACTCATCAAATGTTTTGATGTGATCATCTCCAAAAAGGCTGCAGCGGGAAAGAGATGGCTGCTCTGTTTGTCCATCTGCAAGCAAAAACCTTGATGATCCTGGATATCAAAGCACAATTTAATACGTAAAATCAAGCAATCATTTTACCACCTGGGAGCTTCATGACTATGGGACAAATTCTCAGCTGGTGTAAGCCAGTGAAGTTCAGCTGAGTTCCACACATTCTTAACATTCATTGTGCCCATTGTTTAGCTTGTGTAAATCAGTGAAGCTCCTTTCAGCTACAGTGGAATGATGCCATTTTATACCAGCAGAATTTAAGGCCCGCTCCAAGATCAATTTACACTAGGCTGAACATCTGGCCTGTATTTTTACAGAAATTGTCTGAGCATATTATTCAACAGGGTGCATGGACATTTTTTCCTCAATGAAATTCTAGTGTTTCACTAATAACCAGTGAAATGCAGCTGTAATAAATCTTTTTTATTTCCCCAGTACTTACTGGAACCTGATTAGAATGAAAATAATCAAAGACTAACTGAAAACATAAGTGCTGGGAATGTCCCATTTACAAACATTTTGGTCCCAATCTCTGGCCTCAGTTACACTCCATGTGACTTAACTGGACCAAATTGTGCAGATGAGCACACAGCTGGCCAAGTTATGCAAATGTTTTTCCTTGAATATCTGTTTCAATTTAAATAGGAATTTACTTTGGCTGTATGCATGCCCCTTTTGTAATTGCTTTCCTGAAACATTTCACTGGGTAGCACCTATTAGGCTAGCTCAAAATTCTCTAATTTTATTGCTTAGAGTTAATCACCTAACTCCACATTTAGGCAATTAAATCAAGCCCCTGTCCTAGGGTTGCCAGGCATCCGGTTTTCAACCAGAACGCCCGGTCAAAAAGGGACCCAGGCGGCTCTGGTCAGCACAGCTGACCGGGCCACTAAAAGTCCAGTTGGCGACAGCAGGGCAGGCAGGCTCCAGGCCCAGTTCTGGGGAAGCAGCCGGCATGTCCCTTCAGTTCCTAGGCAGAGGAGCGACCAGGGGGGCTCCGCCTAGAAGCCGGAGTCACATGCCACCACTTCCCGGGAGCCGCGTGAACATCCTCCATCCCCGGGAAATGCCGGGGTTGCCTGAGGTCAGTGCCACCTGGAGCCCACACCCCAAACCCCCTCCCATATCCCAAACCTCTGCCCCAGCCCAGAGCTCCCTCCCACACGACACTCCGAACCTCTCAGCACCACCTCCCAGCCTGGAGCCCTCTCCCGGACCCCAACCCTCTGCCCCATCCCGGAGCCTCCTCCCACACTCTGAACCCCTCGGCCCCAGCCTGGAGCCCCTTCCTGCACCGCAAACCCCTCATCCCCAGCCCCACCCAAGAGCCTGCACTCCCAGACGGAGCCCTCAGCCCTCCCCTGTGCCCCAATCCCCTGCCCCAGCCCAGTGAAAATGTGCAAATGAGCGAGGGTGGGGGAGAGTAAGCAATGGGGGGGGTAGAGTGAGTGGGGTTTGGGGCCTCAGAGAAGGGGCATAGCAGGATTGGGGCTTCAGGGCATGGGTGGGACAAGAGTGTTCGGTTTTCTGCAATTAGAAAGTTGGCAACCCTATCCTGCAAGTTACTACATGGGAGGACTCCCCCCCACACACACACACTGATTTCAATGGCTCTGTATAGGTTCAAGGGTCCGCCTATGCATTGTAACTTACAGGATGAAGGCTTCAGTGGCTTGATTTTAAGGAGGTGCTAAACACCTATTGAAATTACCCAAGTTTGAAAAATGTTGACTCTATTTTTCACACAGAGCATAACCCTGACATGACAATATACAGAAATTAGGTAACAATGAGATTCTCATATCTAACACATTAAGTTAACTGATATCTAAATTAGAACTGCTTTTTCTCCTTATTTCTCCTGGGCCAAACCCTGCAGTACTACTTCAGGCCTTGATCTGGCAATGAGCTCCATGCAGGCAAACCTCTATGGCTGCACAGAGTCATAGAATCTCAGAATCATAGAATATCAGGATTGGAAGGGACCTCAGGAGGTCATCTAGTCCAACCCCCTGCTCAAAGCAGGACCAATCCCCAACTAAATCATCCCAGCCAGGGCTTTGTCAAGCCTGACCCTAAAAACCTCTAAGGATGGAGATTCCACCACCACCCTAGATAACCCATTCCAGTGCTTCACCACCCTCCTAGTGAAAAAGTTTTTCCTAATATTCAACCTAAACCTCCCCTACTGCAACTTGAGATCATGGCTCCTTGTTCTGTCATTAAAGTTAATGTGGCACCACACATAGTCAAGGGTCTGTCCATTTCAGTCCATTGATTTCAATGGGAGTCCTTGTGAGGGTATGGATTTGTCCACACCACACTAATACAGGCAATAGGTAACAGTCCTCTCTATGACTTTGACGCTGATGGCATTGTTGCCTGAGTAAAGTTTGTAGGATTATAGAAGGAATAAAGAAATTATTGTAAAAAGGAATAAAAATTCCATTTTCTTAGGTATTAGAAACAACGTGCTTTCCTACCTGTTGTTACAATGGACAGAGCTAACTGCATTAGCAGGACTGTGAAACAGATCATCTGTTAAAATAAAAGATGTTAGAACATTCATTGTCAATATTTAACACACTGAGAATTGGGGGCTAGTTTTCCTGGCTCGTTTTGATTCTCATCAAGCGTCCGTTTTCTCCCTGAATTTCTTTGTATTAGTTTGAGGTTCTATTTCATGCTGTACAATGGAAATTGAAATGGTCTTTCATGATAATCCAATAAGATCGCCCTACAAATCCATACAAAACAAACACACACAAAAAGGATGTACTCTGAGAAATAATGCATCTTCTGTTCTCAGCCGGTAACATGGGCTATCTGCATAGGAGATATGGGATGTTTGTGTTATTCTAATTTACTGATGCCTGCCTCGGGCTCCATACACCTCACGCACAATTGTTACAAAATTATTACAAAAATTAAAAAACTTCAATACAAAGTTTCAATTACCCAACTATTGGGCAGCCCAGCAAAAGTAAAATTAACCCACCAGACTGTAAGACCCAGCTAGGCCCTGTTACGATCTACAGCCACTACCTAAGGACTTACATTTTTCCCTGATGCCTTAGGGGGAGAATTGCAGTGTTGTTGTAGCTGTGTAGGTCCCAGGATATTAGAAAGACAAGGTGGGTCAGGTAATATCTTTTATTGTACTATAAATTATATTACCTCAAGGGGAGAATGGTATATATAAAGATCCTGCTCCAGCAAACCGATCCATGCAGGCAAACACTTCCAACCCGTGCACAGCCCCCTGAGTACATTTGTGCTCCATTACACACACAGGTGTCTGCCCACTGAGATAAGCGTGCACAGGGCAGAGACCTGAGGTGAAATCCTAGCTTCACCAAAGTCAATGGGAGTTTTGCCATTTGCTTTGTGTTTCATCCTTTGTCTCCTCTATGTCTGTAAACTAACTTACTGCACTGCCAGTGCTATAAAAATGATCAAAATATATGAAGTGCATCTATAAGAGCTAAGAAGACATTCTGCCACATTAGGTTACCAGGTGATAGGTTAGATTAGCTATAGGATACAGCTGAATGCATTCAATTTTCAAACAAGCCCCCTTTGGGCCTCAGATTACAGCTGACAGAATGATTTTCCAACAGGAAATTTACAAACAAAAAATGCCCTTTTCCAAAATATTAAGCTTTCTGTGGGAAAATTTCAATTCTGTTAAAAAAAATAATAATCCAATTTTGTCAGGAAAATTTAAACAGCGACTCCCCCAAGCAGCCTGGCTGGAAGGATCTTGTCAATATCATGTTCTGCCTGTGTGAGAAAGTGAAATTGACAAGAGTCTTCTTCCAGGGTGGCAGCCATCAAGCTGAAAAAATCCTTTTTTGGGAGAATCACAATGGAATTTTTCTGGTAATCCTTTCCCATAATAACAATTTGCACTATTGACGCTTTCTCCCAATTCAGTATGGAAAAATAATTCAAAGCCACAATTTTTTTCTTGGGAAGGGATTTCCATTTTCTAACCAGCGCTACCTTAGATACATTCATACCCAATATACTGGCTCCACTAGATCATACTTATTTCTTTTAAAGAAATTTGGGTAAGAAAAGCCCTTGATAATGGAGCTTACCCATGGGACCAAATTCTGCTCCGTTTACATGGGCACAACTTCCACTGACTTCAGTTACATTGGTCTAACTCCCATTGAAGTCAATGATAGTCAACCTGTATAATTGAGTGCAGAACTTGCCTCACTCATTTGCAAAAAAAGGATCTGTTGAAAAATGTAGTGTGTATGATGTGGCTGGTGCCTATAAAGATACAGGCACTGTAAGATACCACAATGATGGACATAGTACAAGAACTGAAAAAGAAGAGAATAAAAAAAAGGGAACAATAGGAATTAATTAGATTAAACACATATTGATATACTTTTAATCAGCATGTTTGTGGATTATATTACTACTCTGATTGAATCTACTATTGAATTTCTTTATTATCACCTTCATTTTAAGTACCAGCAAGAAAGACTAAGGTCAAGTACAAAACAAATGCAAAATGCTGTTTAAAAAAAAAAAATCTCTGGCTTAAAAAAAAAATCCCAAACCTGTCTGCTCTAAACTCCACCTTAACTCTCATAGGAAAGTATCGTTAACAAAGAAATACATATCAGTTATATCAGCCTAATGACCCACCCTGTGCAATTTTATAATCTGTTTCATAAGAAATAAATATACCTTTTTCTGTGCAAAAGTTCAATTGCATATGAAAAAAATCAGCTTCTTGGATGGTCAGCTTTAGCCTAAGAGCCCATGGTTCCTGTTTCCTTCAGAAGGCTGGACTGGAATGGACTGGAACTGAAAATTTTTGTTTTCATATAAGCCAGGAACTCTTGTTCATTTAAGAGGAAAGATAACAGATGACCTTTGCATCCGTCTGATTCTCAACACAATAGTGCTAAACTGCTATCATGTAAATCAGCTGCCTTAATTGCCAAAAAGAAACAATGAGAGGAAATTGTATTATATACTTACATGACAGATAAGTCTTTGAAATGGGTTTTGCATCTGTGAGTGTGAAACCTCACTGGTCGAGCAAATAAGGTAACATAACTACTTGAAAGAGTACTGACACGGAGAAATATCAGATTTGCCATACCATAATAGATCATTGATCTATCTAGTACTTTCCTGCTGCCATGAAAGGCCAATATGATGCATTAAAGCAAGGTGGGGAAAATAATTTACAGAGCTAGTTATGCTATTTAGTGTTCCTTTTTTCCTCAAAAAGGAAAAAACACCAGCCATACACCTGTAGTCCAAATTACTTACACTGTGAGCATGCAAACTTTTATGCATTTACTTAACCTTAATTATGTGTATAGTCCCAGTGGAACAACAGGTATGTGTAAAGATAACCATATGCATAAGAGCTTGCAGGATCAGGGACTTATTTTGAACTTTGAAAAATAACAATATGAAAGAACAAGTAAAATCTCCAGGAGAGAGCACAGAGAATGTGTGTGTGTTGTGTACAAGCTTCAGCAACTCTGAGAACAAAAAGAACGAGGAGTACTTGTGGCACCTTATAGACTAACAAAGGGAAACTCCACCAGGATTTTCTTACTCGGGTGCCTCCACATTTTCCCATTGGCATGGGGTTTGCCCCCAACCCCCTCCCACCGAAAAGCTGCATCCCGTGACATACCCGTCATGATCTGGGTGGATTGCAGAGTATCTATGGGAAGACAACGTCATATTGTGCAGGAGTTCTGTACTCCCACTACAATTCAGTCCCTTGGTGCCCTGACCCCAAGTTACCTTCCGATGTGGGTCCAATGTGACTTCTATTGCTCCAATGGAGCCCCTCTGAAAGAACCCCTCCCTCTGCCCAGGAAATTTCTCTCTGTCCTCAGGAAGGGATGGGAGCCATGGAAAAGTTAATATAGCCTGAGGCTTTCTGGACTAATTCTAAGAGGTCATTTCAAGCAAAGGAACAACAAGGAAGATAGCATGAATGGCAGCTGATATCACCAGCACCACAGAAAAGCAGATGTAATAAGATACAAAAGCGGATAAGTACAAAGGGTAAAATTCTGGCACTAATTAAGTCAATGAAAGTTTTGCTGTTGACTTCAATGAGGACAGCATTTCACCCAAGGGATCTAAAACATGACAGATCATATAGGTAAGGACCAGAAGCTTTGCATTTAATGCTGTATAGAAGGGAGAAGTTAAGGTTGGGTAAGTGATGTGGGTCAGGTGGGATGATAGTTAGGATCACAGCATACAAACAGAGAAGGCAGATAATAAACAATGCATGCTCTTTCTGACAGGTTGCAGTATAACACTACTTTATTTCATAGAATCCAGAACCCTAACATTCCAGAACTGCAAAGAGACAAAATTCAATTCACTTTGTTTTAGGCTGATTCTTTGCAGAATGACTGGTTCAAGCCTAGATCACGCACTTCCTTGAAGAGCTCTCTAGACTGCAAGCAGGACCAGAAAACCCCTTACAAATGTAAAGTGATAGCTTGTAATTTTAACACAGTTTTCATATCACCACAGTAGTAAGTGGTAGTGGGTTATACAGAAGTGGGCCAGATTCCTTAATTGTTCATTTCCAGTCTCTCTCATGTTTGGATTTGTTTAAAGGGAAGAATGATAACATTGTTGTAGGGTGTTAGACGGACTCAACAAAACATTTGCTACCTTAGCTCTTCTCAACGTTTTTATTTGTGGCTCTACATGGAAGTGTGTGCATACATGCCACAATTCTTGGACACGGTGATTTAGGGGATTCTGGAGAGATGTTCCCAACCCCTTAGTGAAATGTGGGGCGGAAGAGCTTCTCCAGCACTGGAATCTTCAGTGAGATCGGGAATTGTGAAGGGCTGTCACCACCTTCTCCTATTCACTCCTGTGAAGGTGTATTCCTTTCAATGCCTGAAGACATGCTTTCTTTCAGATGATTTCTTAGCATATGTAAACCTTTCAGCCAAGGAAATAATTAATATATAATTATTTTATTTATCCTTTTGTTTGGCACTCACTCAAGACAGGGTTTAAGGTTCTTTAAAATGGAACATTTCTTGGCTCTTATGTTGTCATAGATAATTTGTTTTAAATTTTAAAAAATCCAATTCTTTTGTTCCTGATAGAGGATTGTGTGATCCTGAAATTGTGATAGATGTCTGGAGCTTTCCTTTCATGGCTTTTGAGGTGGTGTTTTTAAATGCTTTTCACATAACCTACTTCCCTTTCCACTTGAAGCTCAAAAAACATGGCAGCCTCTTTTCTTTGTGAAATAAACAAAAAGGCACTGTGGCCAGGAATTTCACCCTGATCCTGCAGTTGATTGTACACAGACTGTTTCCCCTGCCCCTGCAATGGGCTCTCTGAGTTCAGTTCAGAATCAGAGCCTCAGTCAATACCAATGGAACATTTTGTGATGCCTAGTGCTAACTTTTAATTGAATTAGCTAAGGTGTGCTAGACATGTTGAAACCTGTTAGATGCACTAGATACATTAAGGAGAGACACCAGCAAAGAAAATAGCTAACTGAGCTTGACACATGAAGGACAAACTTCCTTTGTTTTGCCTCTGACTCAATTTTCCCATAAGAAAGGAAGTGATAATTAAAGAGCACATCTATTAACTGTTATTGTATACTGTTCCAATGCGAAGCGTGGTGATGTTTGCGTAGACCTGAGGTTTGTTTATAAATGTTAGCATGGTAGGAACTCATTTTATACAACAGGAAAAAATCTGAGATGATATGTAGAGTGCCTAGAAAGCCATTTAATAGCCAGTTTCTGTGGTAATGGGATAAGCTTTGAGAAAGAGTGTCGGACACTAATAATTACTTTCCTGCACATGGCCATAGTCCTCTCGGTGCTTTCAAACAAATTAGCCAAACATAGCAATAGCCCTAATGATTAACTATATTGAAACATTAAAATAATTAATAATTGACAACATTGTTCTAGACACATTACAGACATGAGTGCAAGCAAGGACCCTTCACTGAAGAATTTAAAACCTATATATATATATACACACACCATATACAGATTAGATGTGGGATAAAAGTGACAATGAATAATCAGATATAATTGCAGCTTTTTTAATGAAGAGAATGCAGGAAGTAGATGTGATACAGCTGGATTTTACAAAGCAATTATATAGTTCATGAAGTCTTTTCCACGGACTTCTATGGACTTTGGATCTAGCCCTTAATGGAGTTTTCTATTAAATCTTATTTTAAAGAAGTATTAGAATTGGCTAGAAAGAAAGCCCTGATATGTGAATTGAATAATAGCTTAAGGATCATATAAAAAGAGTAATGGAAAAGATAATGTATCCTGGGGAGATGTGCATCAGTGGGTTACCACAGCAATTGGTATTAGGGCTGATGTTATTTAACTTTTTGCTAAAGACCTGGTAGAGAAAGCAAAGTCATGGAACACTAATGATTAAACTAAATTGGGGGTCATTGGAACACCTCTGAGGGCAGAAACACCACACAAGGGACCTAGAGAAGTTAGAACAGGGGCAGGGAATAACTAAGACCTTTATCTACACAGAAAAGGTTTTTTTCTAGTATAATCTCAGGTGTGAATTTAAAGTAATGTATTGGGACAACCCCTCTATGTGGACACTCTTATTCCAGAGTAAAAGTGTCTCCCTCCCACCCACCCACCCACCTCTATCCCCCATCCCCCAGGTTTAGCTTATGTCATTTGGAAAGGGATATAAACTCAATTGAAAAGCCATTCTTATTTCCAGAATGAGTGTGTACAGAGTTATATCTGTATTATTAGAGGCATAAAACTGGTGAAACTTTCCCATATAGACAAGCCTTAAATGAGATTCATGTTGAATAAATGTATGTTAATACCTCAGGGGGGGAATAAGCCAATTATGGCTATTCAAGGAGAGGCAAAACACGTGGAAAGTAGTAATAGCGGAAATAAACCTATGGCTGAGAGAGAACAGCAACTTAGACATATAATTAGATAGGCAGTATGATAACAAAAATAGTCTGTACAGTTCTGGGCCACTTTCAAAGACATCACATCGCTGAGCATGGCAGTAATTCTCTCTGTTTGTTATGGGAACTCCCACTGAGGGAGTGGCAGATAGCTGCTAAGTTAACTCTAGGCCAGTGATACTCAGACTGAGGCTCACGAGTCTCAAGTGACTCCTTGATGTGTCTCCTGCAGCTCTTTGCAATATATGATATTAAAACACTGTGATTTAATTATTAACCAATCCGGATGCTTTTACTATGTTATTAACCAACTGTAGTTGATAAAATAATAATAGTTGGTCAGTCATTTTGCTGGGAGAAATGTATAAATTTCCCTGTCATACTGTTTAAATATGAATATATAATTCTATAGGAAATTAAACAATGAATTCACCCTATGGCTCTTTTGAGTAATGTTGATTGCTAATTTGGCTCCTGAACTGCTGAGGTCTGAGTATTGAGGTCTTCCTTGAATTTCTCTAGCCAGTTAAGTTGGCTTTCTGACTGTTTTGCACCACCAAAATGGCACAAAACAGCTGGAGCTAAGACTAAATGCTATCTCCATGGTTGTAACCCGGTTAGCCTACTGATTCTGTAACACAACTGTATCTGTAATACAGATAGGGCCTACAGCAGGTTTTAATGATGGGAACTATAAGAAGTTGTACTTGAAGTAGTCTGAAACTTTCCATAAGTAATGTCTAATGCCACCATCCACTATAACCCAAAATCCATGGTCGATGCTTAAGTGTGGAATGTAGACCATTGATACCCCATTGTCTCTACTGATAT